CTTTTCATTCTTTCTTCTTCTTTTCATTCTTCTTCTTCTTCTTTTCATTCTTCTTTTCATTCTTCTTTTCATTCTTCTTTTCATTCTTCTTCTTCTTCTTTTCATTCTTCTTCTTCTTCTTTTCATTCTTCTTCTTCTTTTCATTCTTCTTCTTCTTCTTTTCATTCTTTTTTTCTTCTTTTCTTCTTCTTCATTCTTCTTCTTCTTTTTCTTTTCATTTCTTTTCATTCTTCTTTTCATTCTTCTTCTTCTTCTTTTCATTCTTCTTCTTCTTTTCATTCTTCTTTTCATTCTTCTTCTTCTTCTTTTCATTCTTCTTCTTCTTCTTCTTTTCATTCTTCTTTTCATTCTTCTTCTTCTTCTTTTTCATTCTTCTTTTCATTCTTCTCATTCTTCTTTTAATTCTTCTTTTCATTCTTCTTCTCATTCTTCTTTTCATTCTTCTTCTTCTTCTTTTCATTCTTCTTCTTTTTCTTTTCATTCTTCTTCTTCTTCATTCTTCTTTTCATTCTTCTTTTCATTCTTCTTCTTCTTCTTTTCATTCTTCTTCTTCTTCTTTTCATTCTTCTTTTCATTCTTCTTCTTCTTCTTTTCATTCTTCTTCTTCCTTTCATTCTTCTTTTTCTTCTTCTTCTTCTTCTTCGTCGTGCCCCGTGACTGCCAAAATGAGTGAAGTGTGCGGTGATTCTAAGATCGACGGCACTCATCTGCATGTCATACTGACTGACAGTATTATTTCTCTTCCCCAGCAGACTCCAAGGGCATTTAAATTAAAGGTACAGTGTTCTGCACTAATATAAAGGCTCTCTGAAGCCTAGAAACCCTTTAAATAAGTTAAATTCGCGGCGAATAAATTCGCATCGAATCGAATTTCTCCCGCAAATTCGGCGAATCAGCCGAATCGAATTTTTGAATAATTCGCTCATCTCTAATAATAATAATAACTAGAAAATCTACAATTTCTGGGGAAATTGTGTAAAGTGTTCTTGCCGCAACCTTTACCAAATGATTGATGAAATGTAAGCAGTGCACATTGCAAGCCTGATAGTGAGAAATGCATTTCAGCTTGTATTTTGAAGCTCACAGTCCAGCCTGGTGAGTCATCTGCCTCTTGAGTGACCTTTGGTTGCTATAGCAACTCACTCAGTCAGGAATGTTAGAAGTGCTGTTCTAAACACTCTGCTGCAACTTGCCAAATTCACTGGCGATTGCCATCTTCAAGCACTTGTAGTTTTAAAAGTATAAATGCTACCGTGAAAAGGTTTATATTGTGACAATCACAAGAAACAGACCTAAATTTTGATATATAGTATGTCTCTGCAATATTAAAAATGAAGGCACAGTCGCAGTTTAAAAACGTCCCTTAACATTTCAGGTGGCTGTGAGTAAAGTTTCAATGAAAGTCAATGGGAGGAGTGAGTTGCAAACAAATGGTCATATTGTGAAAACTTGATATAAGATATGTGTAGGTGGGCTTGAAAATGACAGAGTGATGGCAGTTTACAAATCATGTTCTGATTTTTCCTTCCACCCTGTAGCTGTGCTCTGCTGCCACTCTAGATGCACCATTCATTCCTATGGGAAAATTTCGCCACAAAAAACGCGATATTTCTTGAACGATTCGGCGAAACGTTCCACAAAGTAATAGCACACCGATCGGGAACAATCCGCACGTTTTGATATATTACTTGTCTTTGTAGTGTAAAAACTGTGGGAGGAGTTAGCGTGGCAAATATGGCTATAATAAGAATAAGAATATACATGTGAGATAACAATTCGTGTTCCTTGCTATGCAACAACACTTAATAATATAGTTTTACCATTTTTATCTGTATTATTTTTTTATTATTAATTAATATTATTTATTTATTTATTAATTTTATTATATTATTTATTTATTTATTAATTTATTTGTATGACTTTCAATACCACTATTAACCATTTCACACCCTTAGGATGTTTTTAAAACAAAAGACTCACGGCCGCAGCTGCCCCTACAAACCACCTATTTTACCTTTTTTTTATATCGTCGTGGCCATTGGTTCAATGGAGAGTATTCTAACCAGGGGCGGACTGACCATTTGGAAACTCGGGCACTGCCCGAGGGCCCGGGGTCAGTAGGGGGCCCCATGAGATGCCCCTGGTACCTTTTTCATAGGCTTTTTTGAGTGTGGGCAAGGACACAGGGGCCCCATGATCCCCTATTGCCCGGGGGCCCCATGAGTCGTCAGTCCGCCCCTTGATTCTAACACGACTTACTCTGCAAAGTCACGAGACACAATGGCAGACGGGGAGCTCTGACGCCCCGATATTTCTCACGGACGGCGTGTCTTATAACAAAGCTTTAGTGAAAAATGTTACGCGTTTTAATTGCGACGCTCAACTTTTTTTCCTTGAAAACTGTTTCTTTGACAGAAGTCTTTCCAGCAGAAGCCTTCCAACGCACCTTCGCCCCCCTTTTTCATGCAAATCAAGCAAGTTTGCAAATGCGATTTTTTGTTTCCAATTCTCCTGCATTCCTGTGGAAGCTCTGCTGGCAACCTCCAGTTTCCTGTGAGGAGGCTAATCTGCATGTCTTCAGGCACGGGCCATCTGTTTGTGAAGACAGAACCCATAAAAGACATCCCCGATATCCCTCTCCATGTGCACAGCCCCCAATCTCCTTGAAGAAAGCCCATCTGAAGGATTACCTGGGATGACCTCCTACATACATATGCAGTTCAGGTTGTCTCTCTATCCAGCCTACCCCGGTGGGATTGTCTTAGGGAAGGGTTTCGATATACTGGGACAGCAGGTTACTGGGAACGATCAGCTAGGTATGAGGAGCTAAATCATGTATTTTATTTTTTATCAAAAAGGTGGGTTTCTTCTAGAATTGTTAAAGAAGGGCTCAACAAATTCCATGGCGACTAGAAATTGCATCCTGGCACCTGGGTTCACACACTGCCTCCCATTGACTTCAATGCAAAATTGCATCCCATAGACGTCAATGCAAAAAATGCTTCCCATACACTTCGATGCAAAAATGCCTCCTATTGACGTCAATACAAAAATGCCTCCTAATGACGTCAATGCAAAAACGCCTCCCATTGATGTTAATGCCAAACGCCTACCCTTAATGTCAATGCAAAACCGCCTCCTAATGACTTCAATGCAAAACCGCCTCCCATTGACTTCAATGCAAAAGCACCTCCCATTGATTTCAATGCAAAAGCGCCTCCCATAGACTTCAATGCAAAAATGCATCTCATATACTTCAATGCAAAACGCCTCCCATAAACTTCAATGCCAAGTCGTGTCCCATAGACTTCAAAGCAAAAACACCTCCCATAGACTTCCTAGACGCTTCCCCTTAACGTCAAAGCAAAGACACCTTCATTGACTTCAATGCAAAAACGCCTGCCATTGACTTCAATACAAACATGCCTCACATAGACTTCAATGCATAAATCCTTCCCATAGACTTCAATGCAAAAACGCCTCCTATGGGCTCCACTGCAAAAACGCTCACCTTAACGTCAATGCAAAAACACCTACTATTGACTTCAATGCTAAAATGCCTTTCATAGACATCAATGCAAAACGCCTCCCATAAACTTCAATGCAAAGTCGTGTCCCATAGACTTCAAAGCAAAAACACCTCCCATAGACTTCAATGCAAAAACGCCTCCCACAGACTTCAATGCAAAAACACTTCCTATTGACCTAAATGCAAAAAAACCTCCAACTGACTTCTATGCAAAAATGCCCCTCATATACTTCAATACAAAACGCCTCCCATAAACTTCAATGCAAAGTCGAGTCCCATAGACTTCAAAGCAAAAACACCTCCCATAGACTTCAATGCAAAAACACTTCCTATTGACCTAAATGCAAAAAAACCTCCAATTGACTTCTATGCAAAAATGCCCCTCATATACTTCAATACAAAACGCCTCCCATAAACTTCAATGCAAAGTCGAGTCCCATAGACTTCAAAGCAAAAACACCTCCCATAGACTTCAATGCAAAAACACTTCCTATTGACCTAAATGCAAAAAACACCTCCCATTGACTTCAATGCAAAAACTCCTGTCAACACTTATCTCACAATGCCACTCTTACTCTATCCCTTCCGAGTCTGGAAAGCACCGCTACAAACTCGCACAGGACCCTTTCCATAATGGCACTCAAACCACAATGAATGTGGATTGCATCTGTGTGAACCCCCTCAATAGGAACACGCCTCCCATTAACTTCAATGCAAAGTCATGTCCCATAGACTTCAAAGCCAAAATGCCTCCCATAGACTTCGATGCAAAAACACCTCCTATTGACTTCAATGCGAAGACACCTCCCATTGACTTCAATGCAAAAACCTGGTTCAGATTTGCCATGATTGTCATGCAGAAAATTGTATCACATCAAGCTTTTCACCCAAAAAATTGCCTTGCCCTGGGCACTGACAAAAAAAAAACTGGCTACTAATTTTTTTTGCTGGCTCCTAGATTCAAAGCAAATTGGCCCAGCCCCGTGTTAAAGGATACGTCCACCTGAAGATGAAATGTAGTTATCAGTTTTGCTTAAACAAGTCTACCTCCCCCTCCCCCTTACTGCAATCTGGCAATTTAAGTCTCCGTTTTTAACTGGACCCCAAAAATCTTCTTGCTGCTGGCACTACCAGTAGGTGTCAGTAGACGTCTCTGAGGTTGCTTCCCAATGGTCTCAAAGGACATGGGCCAGTAGATTAATATTTGGAATAGTACCCATCATTGGGTCAGTGGGAGGAATAGTGTAACCCCATCATTGGTATCAGTGGGAGGAATAGTGTCCCATCATTGGTATCAGTGTGGAGGAATAGTGCCCCATCATTGGTGTCAGTGGGAGGAATAGTGCCCCATCATTGGTATCAGTGGGAGGACTAGTGCCCCATCATTGGTGTCAGTGGGAGGACTAGTGCCCCATCATTGGTGTCAGTGGGAGGAATAGTGCCCCATCATTGGTGTCAGTGGGAGGAATAGTGTCCCATCATTGGTATCAGTGGGAGGAATAGTGCCCCCATCATTGGTGTCAGTGGGAGGAATAGTGTCCCATCATTTGGTATCAGTGGGAGGAATAGTGCCCCATCATTGTTGTCAGTGGGAGGAATAGGTGCCCCATCATTGGTATCAGTGGGAGGCAATAGTGCCCCATCATTGGTGTCAGTGGGAGGAATAGTGTCCCATCATTGGTATCAGTGGAGGAATAGTGCCCCATCATTGGTGTCAGTGGGAGGACTAGTGCCCCCATCATTGGTGTCAGTGGGAGGAATAGTGTCCCATCATTGGTGTCAGTGGGAGGAATAGTGCCCCCCATCATTGGTATCAGTGGGAGGAAATAGTCCCCATCATTGGTGTCAGTGGGAGGAATAGTGCCCATCATTGGTGTCAGTGGGAGGAATAGTGCCCCATCATTGTGTCAGTGGGAGGAATAGTGCCCCATCATTGTGTGTCAGTGGGAGGAATAGTGCCCCATCATTGGTGTCAGTGGGAGGAATAGTGCCCCATCATTGGTATGTCAGTGGGAGGAATAGTGCCCCATCATTGGTGTCAGTGGGGGAATAGTGCCCCATCATTGTGTTGGAGTGTCAGTGGGAGGAATAGTGCCCCATCATTGTGTCAGTGGGAGGAATAGTGCCCCATCATTGGTGTCAGTGGAAGGAATTAGTGCCCCCATCATTGGTGTCAGTGGGAGGAATAGTGCCCCATCATTGGTGTCAGTGGGAGGAATAGTGCCCCATCATTGGTATCAGTGGAGGAATAGTGCCCCATCATTGGTGTCAGTGGGAGGAATAGTGCCCCATCATTGGTCAGTGGGAGGAATAGTGCCCCATCATTGTGTCAGTGTGGAGGAATAGTGCCCCATCATTGGTGTCAGTGGGAGGAATAGTGCCCCATCATTGGTTGGTCAGTGGGAGGAAAGGAATAGTGTCCCCCATCATTGGTGTCAGTGGGAGGACCATAGTGCCCCATCATTGGTATCAGTGGGAGAATAGTGCCCCATCAATTGTGACTTCAGTGGGGAGGAATAGTGCCGCCCATCATTGGTGTCAGTGGAGGAATTTGTGTCCCATCTATTGGTGTCTTGGAGTGGGAGGAATATTGTGCTCCCATCATTTTGGTGTCAGTGGGAGGAATAGTGCCCCATCATTGAGGATATCAGTGGGAGACCAGGGAACCTAGCTGCCCCATCATTGGTTGTCAGAGGGGAGGAATAGTGCTCTCATCATTTGGTGTCAGTGGGAGAATAGTGGCCCCCATCATTGGTGTCAGATGGGAGGGAGGGAGGGGGGGTGGGGGGTGAGGGGAAGTGGGGGGGAACTAGTTCCGGCCATCATTCGTGTCAGTGGAAGGAATAGTGAGCCCCCATTCATTGGTGTCACGTGGGAGGAATAGTGCCCCAATCATTGTGTCAGTGGGAAGGAATAGTGCCCCATCATTGGTGTCAGTGGGACGGGAATTCATGCCCCATCAGTGGTGTCATTGGGAGGAATAGTGCCCACTATAAATCATTGTTAGTGTCAGTGGGATGTGAAAATAGTGCCCCATCTAATTGGGGTGTCAGTGGGAGGAATCGTGCCCTCATCATTGGATGTACATCGGGAAGAATAGTTGCCCCAATCATTGGAGTCTAGTGGGAGGAATAGTTCATCATCATTGCTGTACCCACCGGTGGGAGGAAATAATGCCCCATCTATTGGTATCAGTAAAGAAATACTAAACAATATTAAGCCTGCCAACTTAGCCATGCCCCCATCATTTGGTAAACAGTGGGAGGACTAGTGCACCGCAAAAGATAGCACACATACCAACTACATGGCACTCCATCACAACCAGGAAAAGAGCCTCATCATTTGAACGTGTCAGTGTGGAAGGACATATGTCATCTCACACCCATTGAGATACTTTACAGATGGCAGGAATAGTGCCCCCGGCATTGGTGATCAGTGAAACCCACATCAGTGCGGCTCTCCATTACAGCGGTGTCACACTGGGAGCAATGAGGCCTGGCCGCCCACACTTAGTATATTGGTTGTTACTATTTGAGCTGTTTCCAATCAAAAAGAATAGAAAGTTATAAAAAAAGCAGATAAATGAACACTTGCCCCCATCCAATGGTACATCAGCAAAAGGGAAGGACTAGTGCCTATTGCCCGCCGCCCCATCATTGTGTATATAACAGTGGGAGGGACAAGTAGTGCCCCATCATTGGAGTCAGAGGGAGGAATAGGGCCCCATCAATTAGGTGTCCCAGTGGGAAGGACTAGTGTCCCAATCATTGGTAACCTCAGAGTGTGAGGAATAGTGTCCCATCATTATGCGTCATTTGGAAGAATATTTCTTGGTGCCCGCTCATCATTTGGTGTCAGGGGGAGGAATAGTGGTCCATCTTTGGTGTCGTGGGGGAATGGCCCCCCATCGTTGTCGTGGGGGGAGCTTAATGGGAAGAGGTGGGGCTAAAAGGGAAAAGGGGTTTGGGGTTTACAGATGAAGGGGTGGATCTTAAAAGGAAGGGGTGGGAAAAATTTAGATGCGGGGGGGTGTCCATTTTGTCTTCCCTAGGGCAACAAAAAACCAAAATACCCACCCCTATAGGTTCCCACATGGAAGAAAAATATATTTGAGGCTACAATTTTGCCGTAAAAAAAATCAAAATAAATAAAATAATAAATACACATTAAACAAATCAAAAAAATATATACCATGTAATTGAAAGGTTTTTTTTCAAAATAAATGAAAAAAAAAATTTTTTTTAAAAAACATTTCAAAAAATACGTATGACTTTAAAAAACAAATCATTTTTGGAATGTATTTTTTAATATAGTAAAAAAAAATGTTAAAATGACTTTTTTTATATGTTAAAAAAAATCTGAGGTTTATATAACCAAAAAATTTAATAATGTTTATTAAAAATATTTTTCAGATTTTTTTAAAAATTTAAAAAAAAGTGTTTTTTTTTTACATTATTAAAATTTGATTAAAAAGAGTTTTAATTTTTTAAAAATTCAAAATATGTTTTAAAAGTTTTAAAAAAATTTTTTCAAATTTTAAAAAAAATTTTTAAAAAAAGTGATTTCTTTTCTTTTGTGGAGCCACCCAAAACAGTAACTTGTAGCAAAATTTTTAAAAAATTTTTTAAAATTAATAATTTAAAAAAATTTTTAAAAAAATTTTTAAAATTTTTTAAATATTTTTAAAAAAAACCCCGGGCCATAAATATTGGGACATCGACAAAATTCTAACTTTTTGGGCTTCTATAAACACCAACCACAAGGATTGGCACTGAAACGAACAACAAGAGTGCTATCACCTAATTCATTTAAATTCCAAATCAGGTGAACGGTTTTAGGAATTACAACAGTTTAAAAATTTCCTCCCCCTTTTTAAGGGACCAAAAGTAAGGGGCAATTGTCTTTCAGTGTTCCGGCAGGGTGTGTTATTCCCTCATTATCCCCAAATTTAAAAGAGCGATAAAAGGTCCGGTTCATTTCAAGTGTGCTATTTGCATTTGGAATCTGTTGCTTCACTTCAAGATGAGATCCAAAGAGCTGTCACTATCAGTGAAGCCATCATTAGGTGAAAAAAAACAAAACCCCTGAGGATAGCAAAAACTTTGGGGCCAAAACAACTGTTTGGAACATTCTTTAAAAAAGGAAGCACCGGTGAGCTCAGCAACACCAAAAAACCCGGAAGACCCCGGAAAAAAATGGGTTTGGAGACTAAAAAAATCTTTCCCCGGGAAAAAAACACCCTTACAACAGTTGGCCAGATCAAAAACACCCTTTCCCGGAGGTAGGTTAGGTGTCAAAGTCACCAATCAAGAGAAGACTTCACCAGAGTGAATACAGAGGGTTTCCCCCAAGTGGAAACATTGGTTTGGCCCCAAAAACAGGAAGGCCAGATTAGAGTTTGCCAAACGACATCTAAAAAAGCTTCAAAGTTCTGAACAACATCCTATGGGGCGAGGGGACGAATCAATTGTCCAGAGTGATGGGAGGAAAAAGGAGGAGAAAGGAATGCTCATGATCCCAAGCATTCCACCTATCAGTGACATGGTGGTGGTAGTGTCTTTGGGGGGGGCATTATGGCTGCCCAAAGGAACGCTTTCTTGTATTTATTGAGTTTGACTGCTGACAGAAGCAGCGGATGAATTTTGGAAGTGTTTGGGGGGTATTTTCGCTCTATTCAGCCAAATGCTCACAATCATTGGAGCTTACAGTGCAGATGGACAATGACCCAAAGGACTTTCAAAAGCAACCAAAGAGTTTTTTTTAAGGGAAGAAGTGGGAAAGTTCTGCAATGGCAAGTCCATCACCTGACCGAACCCCATTTTAGCATTTCACTTGCTGAAGACAAAATGAAGGGAAAA